CGATTGGTTGCCTCCCACACAACCCTGACCAGGCTGGGCATCAAACCTGCAACTGAGGTACGTGCCCTTGCCTGGGAATTGAACCCAAGACCTTTTGGTCTGCAGGCTGATGCTGTAACTGCTGAGCCAAACCGGCCAGGGCCCAAAGGCCTCTTGGTGGGACCTGGATTTCAGACTCTGAGCAGGGTGGTCTGGCAGACACGAGTCCGCATGTGTATACAGTGCACACACACATGTGCACACACACATTGTGGAGAGACGTGGCAGTGCACGAGGTTGGAGGGAAGAGCTGGGCTGGGTCCTACCAGCTGTGCATTTATTCTCAGGAAATGGACTTGTGGAAGGTTTCCAAGCAGAGGCGTTGAACAGAGTTCAAGGGACCTCCACAGCCATGGGCAGGAGGATGGCCGTGAGGGGGCGCAAGAGGGGAAAGAGGGGCCGGAGTGGCCAGGGCTGGGCGCTGGGCAGCCATCTGCTTGCTGCCTGGGGTGGAAGGAGGGGAGGCGGCTCCTCTCTGTCCCTATGAACACCCCGTCCCGTGGTCTCTGGTTCTCAGTGGCTCATTTGTTTCTCGGGCTGACGTCAGGAACAAAGACACTGATGTGCCACAGACAAGAACTGGGGTCTCTCTGGGCAAGGAGACGCATCATTAGAAGCAAGGCTGTACTTTTCGAGTTTGTCTCCTCTGTTCATTTCCGTGATGGTCCCTCTAAGCCACTATCCCTCGTTTCTTCCCTGCCCACACCTGACAACCAGCCCAGGGCCCTGCTTCCTCTGCCCCGTTGCTGTGGGGGCTCAGGTAGCCATGGCAACAGGCAGGCTCCTAGGCAACGGACTTGTTCATCCACAAAGCGTTCTGGGGCCTCAGTCCTCCGGCAAGAAAGCCATTGTGTTACTGTTTGTACCATGATTTGCTATCAGGACTAGAGAAGTGATTGAGGCAGGCAGATGAGACATCAATGACTGATGATTAAACATTATCGCATCGATCCCTCACACGTGGGTTCTGCCCGCCAAGGTACTTCTGACCGCGCAGGGCCTCAATTCGGCTGTCGTTGTACTTGAGAGTATCTGGCTTGTTCAACATTTCCAGCAAGACCATATGAAATCTTAGCGACCACAAGAGGAAAGTTCGAAGGTTCTGTATCATCTTCTTTCAAAATGCTTAGAATGTTGCCCCTGGGGAAAGGCCCCCACACCCCTCCATGGTGTTCCTCTAAGAAACCCTCTGGAAACAGCCTTTTCACCCAAGTCAGCTGGTGTCAGGTGGCGGTCCTTGGGGGCAGAGCTCCTGGCGTGAGATGGGTCACGTTTGGGGGGGGCTTACCCGCAGAGAGGACCACCCTCTCCAGCTCCCATGGCCAGCCCCCAGCAGTGTGACCTCCCTTGCGGGCTAGCTCTTCTCCCTGAACTTGTCTTTGGCTCACCCCACCTTCCTGTAGCCAGGTGGAGGGGGGGGACTAATTTCAGGGGTGCGGGCCACAGTCAATGAACTCCCTCTGGCGGGCCTGGGGGAGAGCAGCATGACACCCCGCTCAGCTCAGGGTCTGGGCGAGACAGTTTCTCAAATGCCCTGCCTCTCCTGCTTGGCACGCCCTCCTGTTCTGTGCCTGGCTGCCTCTTGTTTTCAAAGGCCGTAGGCTCTGGCAACCTCCACAGCGGAGAAGCAGGAAGAGGAAGAAGGAAGCTATGATATCTTTTTCTAGGTGTTAAGGGCAAGAGGTACAGGCTGGTTAAAATAGCTCACTAGGTTGGGGAGGGAGACTGGGACCCAGAGCAGAAAGTATACACCATGAAACAACAGTAATTATTACAATCACAAAACCTGCATTTACTCAGCGTTCGGCACGAGGCCGGCCCTGCCGTGTTTTCTGTTCCCTAAAGTCCCAGCGCACACTGTGTTAGCGATGCTACAGCACAGCTCCTGGGGGAAGTACAGGTTGTCTTCCAGCCGATCAGCCCATAACCTTGTGTTGTGTTACAGACACATTGCTTAGTGTACTCATTAGCCTTGGACTCACAGCCAACAGCACATAACTCAGGCCTGAAAGCTTCTTCAACACATGTGTTTTCTCCGTATACCAGGTCACAGCCTCCTTGCTCTCAGGAACACAAGACAACTTCAGCAGTAGGCTTGGGGGTTGTTTTAACAGTTAAGTTGCCCCCCCAAATAACAGGGCACAAACATGCACAGACATGGCGCTAAATGGACCACAAGATGGGCGCTGGCTCACAGTAGGGGTGGAGCCAAGGTGGGAGTGTCACCTTGGTCACCTCAGCTGGGACCTTGTGCCTCGGACAACCCAAATGTTTCCCTGTTCTGTGCATGTCCCCTGAACAACGGTGGAAGCCCTGCAAGGATTGATTCTGGGGTTACAGACACATTTGGGCAAGTCAGTGAATTTACAAATACAGAACCGATGACTAACAAGGGCTGGATGTGGTACTGTCTTATTCAATCCTCATAACCACTCTGAAGGACTGAACTATTGGCACCTTGATTTGCACATACGAGAAAGCAAAACAGAAGTTTGGGTTGACTCACCCCAAACTTCACAGCTACAAAATGGGGAGCCAGGATCCCAATCCAGGCAGAATGACTCTGGAGCCCAGACTCATAATTTCCTTATCTCCGTAAGGATTACGCCTCCAACACACTCTGTGCAGTATTTTTCAGGAAACTGCACTGGGCTCATTTTCTTTTTCATGCGAAGTGAAAAAGCCCCCTCAAATTCTTAAACCTTCAATATATTTCCTAAGTAAGAGTTGTTATACCCAAGTACAGGTTGAAACATAGGTAATTTACCTTTTGAGGCTAAAAATAGTTGGCCATTGACAGTTTCCCGAGGTTCGGGCTCACATGTCCTTGGAAAGCGCTCTCCCCACGACCTGAGCCACCAGTTCTCATCTTCTTGCACATGGAAAATGGAAGTTACTAAACTTCAAAAGGAGAATCCTTAAAGAATTTATAGGTGTACTCTTTTATTAAATAGAAGCATAGAGGTTTTTTATTTTACAGCAGCTGTTTATCATGTTTTCTGACCTTTTTCAGTTAAGGATGCAAGGACAAAGATCTCCCACTTTGGTATAAAAAGGCCAAATGCAGTTATTTTCTGCCTGACAAATGCTGAGCATTGGATTTGATCGGAGGAAGTGTATGATCTGCTTCTCTAGGGGCCTTGTAATAGCTGAGATTAGGTAAAATTTCTACTGAACTGAGTAGGACAGGCAGATCTGGGGATCCACTTTTGTCAGATTTTTAGGGACGAAATAGAGAAAAAAAAAATCAGAAATTTCCCCTGTGCTCTCAAGCGGAAAAGCAGAACCTCTCACTCGGTGGCCTTGCAGTAGTCACGCACGGGCGCTCCAAGGCTCTGGCTCCTGTTAACTGGCAGCCTCGCGATCCAGGCGCAGGAGAGAAACAGCCAGTTCCCCGTTGTCACCGTGCTGGCCAGGGAACCGCGAACTTGGCTCTGCCGGCCAGAGGTTTGCAGTGTTTCCTGCAAAACTGGGAAGATGGGTCGGACTGGCTGTTCCCCCTGGAGGCAGGGGTCCGCGCTCGCACCCCTAGCCGTTCCCCCCGGAGGCAGGGTCCGCGCTCGCACCCCTAGCCGTTCCCCCTGGAGGCGGGGGTCCGCGCTCGCACCCCTAGCCGTTCCCCCTGGAGGCAGGGTCCGCGCTCGCACCCCTAGCCGTTCCCCCCGGAGGCAGGGTCCGCGCTCGCACCCCTAGCCGGTCCCCCTGGAGACAGGGTCCGCGCTCGCACCCCTAGCCGTTCCCCCTGGAGGCAGGGTCCGCGCTCGCACCTCTAGCCGTTCCTCCTGGAGGCAGGGGTCCGTGCTCGCACCCCTAACCGTTCCCCCCGGAGACAGGGTCCGCGCTCGCACCCCTAGCCGTTCCCCCCGGAGGCGGGGGTCCGCGCTCGCACCCCTAGCCGTTCCCCCTGGAGGCAGGGTCCGCGCTCGCACCCCTAGCCGTTCCCCGGAGGCAGGGGCCCGCGCTCGCACCCCTAGCCGTTCCCCCTGGAGGCAGGGTCCGCGCTCGCACCCCTAGCCGTTCCCCCTGGAGGGAGGGGTCCGCGCTCGCACCCCTAGCCGTTCCCCCCGGAGGCAGGGTTCGCGCTCGCACCCCTAGCCGTTCCCCCCGGAGGCAGGGTCCGCGCTCGCACCCCTAGCCGTTCCCCCCGGAGGCGGGGGTCCGTGCTCGCACCCCTAGTCGTTCCCCGGAGGCAGAGGTCCGCGCTCGCACCCCTAGCCGTTCCCCCCGGAGGCGGGGGTCCGCGCTCGCACCCCTAGTCGTTCCCCGGAGGCAGAGGTCCGCGCTCGCACCCCTAGCCGTTCCCCCCGGAGGCGGGGGTCCGCGCTCGCACCCCTAGCCGTTCCCCCCGGAGGCGGGGGTCCGCGCTCGCACCCCTAGCTGGGAGGCGAGCGAGGGAACCCGGACCTCCCACGTGCACACGGGAGCGAGGCAGCCTCCCGCCGCTCCGGGCCGTCTGCAGTACGTCTCCGTTGCCTGAACTCTGCAAAGCAGGTGCTCGGGGCGGAGCAGGGCCGCGGCGGCGCTGGAATCGGGGCGCAGGACCCTCTGCCCCGGCTGCTCCCCGCGGAGGCGCTGCCCGCCTGCCGTCCCGTTTGCCCCAGGCCTCTTCTCGGCCTCGGGTCGGGCCGGGGCGAGGGTCTGAGCACCAGGCGCTCGGAGGACCGCGTCCGTGGGTCGGCCCCTCCCGAAGCAGAGGCTGTGCGCCCGCTGGGTCCCGACTGCAGGTGACCGGAGGTAGCGGCTCCTGAAACGCCAGCACGACGGGTCGCGAGCGCATGCGCGGCGGGCGACCCCCTCCACACAGCCCGCAGGGCTCTAAGCTGCAGGCCGGCGGACCCCGGTGCGCATGCGCGCACTGCTACGGCGGCCGCACGGGCTGCGCCGACGCGCCGGAAGCGTGTGACACGGATTTCCGGTCGGCGGGGTAACTTTCTGGTTCCGCGTTCCTCCGCGGGCGCCAGCGGCCGGGGAGCGAGTGGGGGCGGCTGCGGCCCGGGAGTGGGGCCATGGAGAAGCTGCGGCGGGTCCTGAGCGGCCAGGACGACGAGGAGCAGGGCCTGACCGCGCAGGTAGGGGCCCGCGCCGTCCCGGGGCGGCGGTTGGGGGCGGGGCCTGACTGCTGCACCTGCTGCGGGCGGTCGAGGGTCCGCAGAGGCTCGCTGGGGGCCCGGCCCCGCGCCCCTGGGCCTTTCTGACGCCGCGGGGCCCGCCGGCGGCCCTTTCCCTCCGACCAGCCGCCCGCCCGCCGCCCGAGCCCGGCCCCCGCCTGCCGCCGCGCGCCCAGGAGCACGCGGGCTGCAAAGGGGGCGCTGAGTTTGGGCAGGATGCGCCCGGAGCGCAGACCGCCGGCTGCTGAGAAGCGAAGCAGCACTGAAGCAGGAGCTGTGGTTCAGGCGTTGAGCCCCGCAGAGAGGTTTTAAAAAGCCCGTGTGTGCATCACCCCGGGACTTTCTTGATAAGGCCACTTCCTCTAGGGAGAGCGTTAAAAACAGCAGTGAAACTGCTTCGTAAGTACTTTGGTTATTTGCACGCTGACAAATTCTTGTTTCCTTGTCCCAGACCTGGAGCGTTTCAAGTCGGGCAGGATTGTGTAAGCGTGTTTTATTCGTCTGCTTTTCTGTGCTAATTTCCTTCCTTGTCCTTGTTCAGCACATCGTGTGGGCCCCGGACCAGTCCCGAGGGTTCAGAGGCTGTCAGTCAAGCACCTGCTCCCAGGGAACTCTGTCACCAGTTTGCAAATCGCAGTGGTAACACAAGGACCCAAAAGTCGTCACCCGGGAAATGTCAGTGCGGCAGTAGCGAGTCACCCAGCTCGGGTACTGAAGCACAGCTTCGTGCCCAGGTGCAGCGGCCACACCACACGTGACTGTTCACATTTAGGTTAATTATGGACAAATACAAGTATGCCACGCTCCGGTGCTCAGCAGACACGTGCGGGTGGTTGCTGTGCAGGACAGCGTGGGAGCGGGACTGGCCGTTGTGGGAAGTTCTGCTGGAAACCTTGGGGGCTGGAGGTGCAAGTGCTACTCTTCTTGAGCCCACAATCTAGAGGGGGAAGGTGACCTAGATCGTTTACCGTCTCTGTTGTGCTGTGGATGCGGTGAGGTTGTTTGGGGAGAAATGTGGACGAGGGAGCAGGGGAGACACACCAGGAGCCACCTGAACGGGAATCCCCGGAGGGAGGGAGACTGGTCTTCCTGTTCCTTGGGATGAAGGACAGGAAGTTGCTTTTGTGTCTGGAGGGTCTAGTAGGGGGAGGGCTGAGGGCTGGAGCTGGACTGGTCAAGGAGAGTGCGCCTGGCGTGTGCCAGGGAAGGTGTGCCCACTGGGCTTGCTCAGGCTGGCTCCCTCGAGGCCAGGGTCTGACCAGGCTGACAGGCACGTTTCTGGAGTCCGAGTGAAGGACTGGACTGGAGGAGTTTTGGTGTAACGAGGAGGGGGCTCCCTTCTGATGTGCGCCCCTTACTTCATTCCCCTTACCTCATTTGGGTCTCTGCTCACGTCACCTCCCAGGAAGGCCTGGTGAGAGTGTCCCGTGTCCTATCTGACTGACACTGCTCTCCCTCCCTGCCCTCCACCCTTTCGCCTGCTGAGTCTCTTCACCGCACCTGACAGCCATTATATGGGTGTTTGCTTGTTGGAGGACAACGACTTGATTGTGTTCCCTGTTCTGTTTACCAGAGTCAGCAGTTCAGCCAAATTGGGAGGAAGAGACGTGGGCTCTCAGGTGTCTGGGGAGCCGATTAAAGCAAGGGCTGAGTCCGCCTGCAGTCCCTTTCTGCAGTGGTGTTAGCAAGAGGGCATCCTGCCAGAGTGCAACTCCCCTCAGCTCCATTCCCCACGGGTTGGGCACGGGTCGGGTCGGGTCGGGTCGAGGTCGGCTCACTGTTGAGGGAGGAGCTCCGGAACAAACAGTCTCGGGCAGTTTTATGAACCATGAGGTCAGGGGTGGAGGGTGAGTGGGTCTGAGAGGGGAAACGTGTCATCAGGGTCCCCTCATCCCCTGTGAGAAGGCCTCAGTGGCTCCATGGAAGAGGGGCTTTGTCTGCCCAGGGCCTCAGATAAAGAGACCCAGGAATGGGGGTGTGGGGCTGAGAAACGGAAGGGGCAGGTGGGCCAGGGCCCAGTCCTCCATTGCAGCTCCTGCAGACATTCTGAAGTGCGCTGTCTGCCAGGTATGCTGTGGACAGGGCAGCTTCTGCACCCTGCTACCCAGGAGCCAGGCTCCTCGCCCAGCACTCAGAGCGGGCACCTGGGAGCGCTCAGCCAGCAGAGGCTGGAGGGTTCAAATCAAGGAAGAGTTTTTATTGTTTAAGATCGAAGAGATCAGGGGCCAAGGAATAGAAAGGCCGACTGTCCACGTCGGTGTTGAAATCATCCCAGACTGTGGGATCTGAAGTGGGGACCTGGGATCAGAGGTGCTGCGTGGGAGAGAATGACAAAGAGAGCTGTGGGTGACAGAAGTGAGGAGGGTGGTGGCTGTTAGTGTGTGAACCTGGAGTAAGGGGAGGGCACCTTCGAAGAGCAGGGCTCCTCAGCAAGTGGGTGAGGACCCCGTGGAGGAGGCCCGCTCCTCCCCTCTGTTGCACCACCGTGGCTTTGAAAGGGGAGTTGTAGGAATACTGCGCCAGCCTGTGTCCCCTTCGTTCAAGTGGCAGCAGCTGGGAGCAAGGCTCAGGCTTCCGCAGCTGCGCCCTTCGTGATGGTGCCGGTCTCCCCCGGCTTCTCTGCGCAGGAAAGGAAAGCGCCGTGTCTGCTGGGCTGTGGGTTCCTGTCCCTGATGCAGGCGCCGCTGTGGGGACATTTCCCTTCCTTGGGTTTTCAGTGGCTTTTCAAGGCCTCGTCCCGGGCGGTGCTGTGTGTGCCGCAGCAGGAGAGGGCAGAAAACAGAGCCCCCCCCCCCCCCCGTTTTCTCTCCGCTCCCTCTTCTTCCTTCTCTAACAGTGGTTGATGGCTGTGTCAGTGTGTATTTCTAGTCCGAGACTGGGTGTAAGAAACCAGCACAGTCGTTGGTTCTGATGGGGTGGTTTTTGATCCCAGTTGGGCAAGAACGTGGCCCCTAAATGCCTGCATTGAAGCAGGCCAGAGCCCGGTTCCTGTGTTTCCCACCTGAGGAGGCGGTACCAGGTTGTCTGGCGTGTGAGGCTCTGTAACTTTCCCGCTCAGGAGCTGGGAAACCTGGGCTTTGTTTCTGTATCCCGGCTGGAGACAGTCATTGCTCCTGGAGGGATGTTCCCATTTGTACAGGGAAACGATTCGCCAGGTGTTGTTAACAGCTGATGGCACCACATGTTACTGGTGAAGTTAGACCTCCTTGAGTTTGGCTAAGAAATAATTCAGAGCCAAGAACTCAAATATAAACAAAAGTTCAGTTAGAAAGTCACAGAGGTAGCCCTGGCCGGTTTGACTCAGCAGTTAGAGCGTCCGCCTGCGGTCCGGAGAGACCTGGGTTCGGTTCCCGCTAAGGGCATGTACCTTGGTTGCAGTTTGTCCCCGGCCCTGGTTGGTCGTGCGGGTGGCAGCCACTCGATGTGTCCCTTTCACATCGATGTTTCTCACTCTCTCTCTTCCTCTCTCTCCCTCCCACTCTGTAAAAAAAAAAAAAGAAAGTCACAGAGGTAGAAGAAGTGAGCCCACTGGGCTGTGTGGACTCAGGAAACAAGCCAGAGGCAGAGTAGGGCCCTTGGAGCTCAGGAGAAAGGCCGGTGGTACCTTGATGGCAGGGAGCGGGAGCTCGGGCATGCTGTGGAGCGAGCGCATGGGGTCCTTTGTCCGAAGGGGCTTTATCTGTTTTCCTAAGGTAGGGGTTTTAGGGGAGGCCTTAGGGGTGAATCGAAACAGCATTTGTCAGCTTCCCAGGTGTGTCTCCTCCTGGCCTTGGTCTCTGCTGACTGGTCCCTGCCAGGGCAGTGGCTCGTCAGTCACTGCTGCTGGTCCTGAGGTCGTCCGGGGAGTTGCTTCCTCTGGTTTTGCTGCTTTTCTGGGCCTGGAGCTGAAACAACTGAGGCCTAGACGTCATCTCTGGTTTGACCAAAGGTCTGCTCCTGTGGTCGACAGACCCAAGCTTTGTCCTTAAGATTAGTTGATGCTGATCAAAACATCGTTGTTGAGGGCTTACTACTTAAGGGAATGGTTCCCCAAGGGCCTGTGTGGGAGTCAGATGAATTCTCTGCCCCCCTTGTTCCTCACCTACGGGGGGCCTACCAGGTGTCTGCCAGCGTGCCAGGGGAGTGTCCGAACCGCATGGCCATCGATAGGAACGGTCAGGGGGTCTAAACCACGACTCGCAACGCCCGGGCAGGGCGCCAGGTCCCACCCTACAGTACTTGTTTTCCCCATTGACAGGCTGGTGGGGGGGGAGGTGGGGCTTTCCACCCCGGTGACCTTCTGCATCTGTTCTTCCTGCTCTGCGCATGTCTGTGTAACTGCCTGCTTTAAAGCATGTTTCATTTTAAAGATCATCACGTGGAAGCCGGAATGAGGGGAAAACACCTGCTGTTCATGCTGTTGTAGTAACCTGGTCCGTCCTTAACGGGAAGGAGCAGAGGGACACTGGTCATACGGTGTGCCTGCCGTTTGTGCAGCTCTGCCCGAAGCTGCCGCTTAACATCCCAGGTCTCTTCTCCGCAGGTGGACGGGGGACGGGCTGGAAAAAGCATTCAGTCTTACTCTCTTTACGAGTTTAAATCACCCCATTGTTAGTAAGTTCAGTTGCTGGTTTGCAATAGCCAGTTTATTTTTCTCTTAGCTGGCTCACTCCCCCCCCCCCCCCCCCCGCCCCCATGCCTGACTCCTGGCTGTGGGACTCATCTTCATGCACTTGCCATGTGGCTCCAGGCCGTGTGGACCCCACACTCAATGGACTGGGGGACTAGGATCGGCCTGATGCTGTGCCAGACCCAGCTGTGCCATGGAAGGAAGCTCTGGGCACGGGCTCTTCTGCCGGCTCTGCTGGCCCCGGCTGCACCTCCTCCGGGACTGGGAAGGGAAGTGGACTTCATGCAGACAAAGCTTTTATCACGTCTCCTGTGGGGGCCTCCGAAAGCTGCTTCCAGTGGCTTAAACCCCACTCACTAGCAACGGAGAAGGCGGTTTGTGCAACTCTCTGCTACAAGTAAACACGCCGAGAGAAATAAACTGCTATTGCAGACCAGCAGTTGAGCTTGCGAACAATGGGGCGATTTAAACTTGTACAGAAAGTAAGAGCGGTGCTTTTCCTGTCTGGTCATGCCCTTCTCACGCCACTGGACCCTCGGGCCATGTGGAGACCATTCTCTCTCAGGAGACGGCGCCCACTCTTCTAGGAACAAGGAGGCCTTTCTGTGTCACGGCAGTGCTCGGGGTCTGTTTTGTTCTGTGTGGTAAGATAGACCCGATGGGTATGCTTCCTGATCAAAAGAATGAAATTCAGCTGTTTTTATAGGCAAGTTTATTCTTTGTCTCAAATCTGGTGATCAGTTTTGCTATAAACAGATAATGTTGCTGGAAACAAGAATGTCTGAATTAAACAAAAATGTTGAAAAGATTTAAAGTGTGTTAAAAAGTGATGTATGCTATTTTGACAGAATCTTATTTAGTTATTTTTATCTACTTTTTGTGCTTCATAAGGATTCACAGAGTAATCGACTCAGGTAAGGATGTAGCCAAAGGTATTTTGAGCTTTTACATATAAAAGTTTGTTTTTACTTCGTTACTCTTGAAAATACATTATAAGCACAGTCTTATTTTTAGGTGTATGTGGTAATGGAAGTTAGAGGGTACATTTTGGTGTATGAATTCCGACTGCTCATGTCTGTTTCTAGAGCAGCTGTTGTCGATCCTGTTTCGGCTCAGCAGGGAAGTGCGTTGTGACAGTGCACCTGGTGGCCTGGGCAGCGGTGTCTGCCCCCGTGCCTGCTGGGTGTCCTGCTTACAGAGCCGAGTGGCTGCTGCTGTCCGCAGAGTGGTCAGGCTGTGCGACACCCAGGAACGCTGTCGCTCTAGAGCAGACTGTCGCCACGTGTCCGGGTGTTAGTGCTGGTGGGGAGACACCCTGGCTTTCACAGCTGGTCGGGAGCGAGCTCTCGGAGTGGGCGCTGTCAGGCAGGTGTGTCTAATGGTAGGCCTGCCCGTGGCTGCCCAGGTCGCCGTCAGGTGGGGGAGCCCCCAGCGGCTGTGCCCCGGAGCTCCCGCAGCCACCCACTCGTCCCCAGCGGCAGGAGCAGGTTCTAGGAGGTGGGCCTGCGCCAGGTGTTTGCCCGGCAGCCCATGCTGAACTCTAGCTGGAGCCTCGTCCTCCCTCAGTTCTTCCCCTGCCCAGCTCCCCGCACTGCCCCTGGGTGTCTCTGCTCTGCCCTGGGGCACCTTGCCTGAGCCACCTAAACAGCCCCTGAGGGGTGGTGAGCCTCCTGTGTGTCAGGGTTTTACCGTCTAGTTGCATCTTTCCTCTGTTGTTTTAATCATCCGTACTTTATAATATCTCATACACGATGGCATTCCATCCGCATCGGTGTGTGTGCACAGTCCTGTTACCACACCTGCCAAAGGTAACGGTGGTTCCACAGACCATGCTCCCTCGACGGTCACTGGGTCTTAGCAGAGCTAAACAACATGCCCTGTGCAGGGCCGCACAGAAGCCGTGCTGAGCATGGAACCTTGCCTGGATTTAGTGGAGGGAACCGGACAGCCAGTGCTGGTCTAAGAACATGTTCTCGTTCCCCTACCCCTCAAGGTCCTGGACGCCACATCGCTGAGCTTCAACACCAGGTTGAAGTGGTTTGCCATCTGCTTCGTGAGTGGCATCTTCTTCTCTGTCCTCGTGAGTGAGCCTTGCTGTTACGTGGTCGGTCTGCTTTGCGTCCCGTGGGATTCTGACAGGCAGTCTGGGTTGCTCTGAGCCTGATGGCCTTTTTAGTCACTTGAGTAAAGGGTGGAGATGAATACAGAGCTGTGGAAATTAATGTTTGGGGTTACGGACTGCTAAAATAATGTTATTTAAGAAAAATCAAAAGAGCTGCAGAGTCAGTAATTTAGATGTTAATTACCTTTTTAACTTGCCATTTAAAAAGAATGTTTAAGTAGACTGAGATTTTAATCACATCTGTAGGATGTTGTGTTATGGCTCATTTATCTCTAGACCTAAGATTTAAATTAGCAAGTAACATTGAAAAGCAACCGTATTAGAGCCTGTGTCAGGAACATTTACATACATACATGGACTGAAACGTACAGTGTCACATGTCTGCATCACTGCTGTCAGCACATTCCGTCCTCAGCCCTCGCCGTGGGAAACGTAAATCACTCTGATGTCTCAACTCAGGGGACTGGATTGCTGTGGCTTCCTGGGGGCATGAAGCTCTTCGCGGTGTTCTACACCTTTGGAAATATTGCCGCATTAGCCAGGTATGTGCAGATGTTTAGCTTCTCAAAATCTTTTATTTGCTATCGCCAGAAAATTTTCCTTTCTAATAAACATTTTCCTAATCGGATGCATTTCTATAGCTCTGACATATTGTGAATTCAGCCCCGAAATCCACATTGTTGATAATATGTGCTGACTCCCGTTGGGTGTCCAGCTGCCAACACCAGTGGTACGGCAGGGACAGCGCACGGGGCACTGCTGTGTGCCAGGGACCCTTCGCTGCGCAGTGTGCGGGGTGGCGCTTCATGCCCCATCTTCCAGCTGGGGCTGTGCCAAGTGAGGTGACGAGGCAGGCTTCCTACCAGACGGGTCTCCAGAACCCCAGTCCCCGATCTCACGCAGCCTGCGTCCCAGGGAAGGAGCCGGCCGGGTGGCCAGCGCCCAGCTGGACGGTGTGGCCCTGGCGCTGTCGGGCTGCCGGGCTGTCGGGCTGTCGGGCAGAGGCAGAGGCACGTTGGGTCGGCCTTGGGGACTGCTTGGAGGGACCTGGGCGCATCTGTGGGCGTATCGCTGTCTGCTGGGGTAGTTGCCAGAGTTACGAGCTCTGCGTTTGTGCGCACCTAGCTTTCAGAGGTGACATCTGTTTGTTCAGGGGTGTGCTGGATCAGAGAGATTGGCCAGTGAGCGTGCTCCCCTGGGCTCCTTCCCGTGGCTCGTGCCGCTGGTGGAAGCTGGTGCAGCACTTCTCTGGAGGTGCTGTCGGGAACTGCCCTGCAGTCACGGTGCTGGTTTTCATTTTCCTGACGTGGGCGAGGAGGTGGCGATGATGACAGGGCCCTTGTTGAAAACGACGCCGCGGCAGCCTGGGGTCGCTTCAGCTCCTGTGTTCACTTGGAGTGATAAAGTAACGCTTGGGCACCTCGTAAGATGCATCGATGTCTCAGAAGGCGCAAGTTTCCTTCTAATACAAAGGAAAAACCCTATTTACTGAGAGATTGTTACTGAGTGAACTGTCAGGGTTTCTTCTCTTGAAAGCATTTGGGTAACCGGGCGGGTGAGGCCGCGTCTCTCAGCTCTTCTGTTTGTCTCAAACAGCACGTGCTTTTTGATGGGACCCTTGAAGCAGCTGAAGAAGATGTTTGAAACCACAAGATTGCTCGCCACAGTCATTATGATTGTAAGTAAATGCAAAAGTGGAAACTTCTGTGGAAGAATTGTCTGCATTTTCTACGAATAATTGCCGGTTTCTCTGTAAGTGCTCGTCACATTCCTCTTGTTGCATGTGATCACGGCGTCCTTCCGGCTGTGGACTGAGGAGCTGGGTGACACGTGGTCACCTCCATGGCCACTGGGCGATCCCCCCTCCGGTGCACGTCTCACACTGTAGCTCTGTTAACGTGAAGCTCAGAGCGGGCTGTAGTTCAGGTCCAGCCCCTGGAGCATTTCCTTTAGGGACTGTTGTGTGCACTCTTTGGAGGGTGGGGCTAGACGACAGGTCACTTCTGGGGCCATTTCTCAGGGGGGTTGGCATTAGTTTCAGTAGCCTGTCCCTGGCTTCGTCTCCTGTCCATGGCTTTGCCAGCAGTACCCGCCCGAGCCGTCCATCACTCGTGGGCTCTGTCTGTGCTGTCAGGTCGTCGCTCACGTCAGGGTTCTGTCTTTAAACGGGGGGTGGGTACGTGGATAGCAGGAACGTGGTTTTCATCATCATGCATTTGGGGCAGATCCTCATTTTGGGTACGATGGGCAGAGGGAGCCGAGCCCCCGCTCTGCCGAGCGTCTGGTCCTGTTGCTGGTTCTGAGTCTCTCGCAGCCCTCTTGCCTTAAGGCCTGCTTTTCAGCTGAAATGTCGGCACAGCGAGTTTGTCCTTTTAGCTGTTAATTTGCTTTCCAAACACAGTTAATCGTTGCAGATTTGTAAATTAGGTAATGTTTTTAACTCTAGTGTGTCGTCTTCCTCTTTACTGGAGGGGGGAAACTTATATCCTAATTTTTTATTTGTGTCCTTATTCAACTTTATCATATTTGTTACCATTTTTCTAAATTTTCCCTTTATTTTGAATTTCCTATAGTAGCTTGTATAGCAGCATGTATATTAACATTTAACTTTGTCTAGATTACTGAGAGGTTATCTTACAGTGTTAGACTATGACAGGCTTATATTTCACCAAGATTCCAGTAGATTTGTTTTGTTTAGGACATCCTGAAACCTGTCTTTGTAAGTAGTCTACCTGCATAAACAAGCATGGTATCGAGAAACTGGACAAACATTTAGAAACAAAGTATTTCCCAAAGAGATGATTTAGTTTTTCACGTGACCTGACTTTGTCGAGTGCTCTGCATGGGCTCACTTGCGCTGACACAGGGTGATGCCCGACAGCGAGAGAGAGGCTGACGCACAGACGTGGGCTGATGGGTTTGTTACGTAGCCCGTGGAGCGGGTTGGCAGCCACCATCCTGTCCGAGGGGAGAGAACCGAGGCCTAGAGCGGATAGCTCACTGACCCCAGACACGTGGCTAGTGGCTGTCAGAGCTGGGACCCCTGGGTCTCACCTCCAGGGTTCTGCCTGCACGGTCGCTGTCACCTGCCCTCCTTCTGCCTCCCCCGCCCCTGGGGGCACAGACTTGTGCAGTGATGACGTCGTCTTTCTGTGTGCGGGTCAGTCCCATAGGTTCCTGTGTGAAGCCAGGTAAACTAGAACTTACCACATGTGCGGTTGGACTCAGAACCGTGTTGGCCGTATTGTTGCTGAGCATGAACACAGTGATTCATAAGGACGGCTTTTGCACGAAGACATTCTTCAGACATTCATTCTGTTGACTTAGCAAATTCTTTTCTAGGCACCTGCATTGTGCCAGGGAATAGTGCAGTCAGGTTAGAGAGCGGAGTGACACACGTGGGCCTGCAAGTGCAGCCAGAGGTGGCGGTGGCGCTGCCGGTTGTGGGGGGGGGGGGGGGTGTCTCCAGCAGGGTAGCAGGGAGGGGGATGGTGTCTCCAGCAGGGTAGCAGGGAGGGGGATGGTGTCTCCAGCGGGGGGGGGGTGTCTCCAGCAGGGTAGCAGGGGGGGGGGATGGTGTCTCCAGCGGGGGGGGGGGTGTCTCCAGCAGGGTAGCAGGGAGGGGGATGGTGTCTCCAGCGGGGGGGGGGGGGTGGTGTCTCCAGCAGGGTAGCAGGGAGGGGGATGTGTCTCCAGCAGGGTAGCAGGGGGGGGGATGGTGTCTCCAGCAGGGTAGCAGGGGGGGGGATGGTGTCTCCAGCAGGGTAGCAGGGAGGGGGATGGTGTCTCCAGCGGGGGGGGGGGTGTCTCCAGCAGGGTAGCAGGGGGGGGGATGGTGTCTCCAGCGGGGGGGGGGTATCTCCAGCAGGGTAGCAGGGAGGGGGATGGTGTCTCCAGCGGGGGGGGGGGGGGGGTGGTGTCTCCAGCCGGGTAGCAGGGAGGGGGATGGTGTCTCCAGCAGGGTAGCAGGGGGGGGGATGGTGTCTCCAGCAGGGTAGCAGGGGAGGGGGGATGGTGTCCTCCAGCGGGGGGGGGTGGTCTCAGCAGGGTAGCAGGGGGGGGGATGGTGTCTCCAGCGGGGGGGGGTAATCTCCAGCAGGGTAGCCAGGGAGGGGGATGGTGTCTCCAGCGGGGGGGGGGGGGGGTGGTGTCTCCAGCAGGGTAGCAGGGAGGGGGATGGTGTCTCCAGCAGGGTAGCAGGGGGGGGGATGGTGTCTCCAGCAGGGTAGCAGGGAGGGGGATGGTGTCTCCAGCAGGGTAGCAGGGAGGGGATGGTGTCTCCAGCGGGGGGGGGGGTATCTCCAGCAGGGTAGCAGGGAGGGGAGGTGTCTCCAGCGGGGGGGGGGGGGGGGGTGGTGTCTCCAGCAGGGTAGCAGGGAGGGGATGGTGTCTCCAGCAGGGTAGCAGGGGGGGGGATGGTGTCTCCAGCGGGGTGGGGGGTATCTCCAGCAGGGTAGCAGGGAGGGGGATGGTGTCCTCCAGCGGGGGGGGGGGGGTGGTGTTCTCCAGCAGGGTAGCAGGGGGGGGGATGGTGTCTCCAGCGGGGGGGGGGGGGGGTATCTCCAGCAGGGTAGCAGGGAGGGGGATGGTGTCTCCAGCGGGGGGGGGGGGTGGTGTCTCCAGCAGGGTAGCAGGGAGGGGGATGGTGTCTCCAGCAGGGTAGCGGGGGGGGGGTCTCCAGCAGGGTAGGGGGGGGGGGTATCTCCAGCGGGGGGTGCGGGGGGGGGGATGGTGTCTCCGCAGGGGGGGGATGGTGTCTCCAGCGGGGGGGGGGGGTGGTATCTTCAGCAGGGTAGCAGGGAGGGGGATGGTGTCTCCAGCGGGGGGGGGGGGGGTGTCCTCCAGCAGGGTAGCAGGGAGGGGGATGGTGTCCTCCAGCGGGGGGGGGTATCTTCAGCAGGGTAGCAGGAGGGGGGTGGTGTCTCCAGCAGGGGGGGGATGGTGTCTCAGGGGGGGGGGATGGTGTCTCCAGCAGGGGGGGGTGGTGTCTCCAGCAGGGGGGGGATGGTGTCTCCAGCAGGGGGGGTGGTGTCTCCAGCAGGGGGGGGTGGTGTCTCCAGCAGAGGGGGGGGTGGTGTCTCCAGCAGAGGGGGGGGGACGGTGTCTCCGGCAGGGTAGCGGGGGGGGGGGGGGATGGTGTCTCCGGCAGGGTAGCAGGGGGGGGAATGCGGGTTCCCTAAGCTCGTGAAAGGGCTGACTCACTGTTCTTTCTTTCCTTCTCCAGTTGTGTTTCGTGTTCACCCTGTGTGCTGCTCTCTGGGTGAGTACCTGGCCTGCTTCACTGACTGTTACCTCGGGAGCTCAAAGCTGGCTTCTTAAAGATTGGTGTCCCTGAAGTTGGGTCGGGTGCCATCCAGTTGGTGGTTAGACTTGCTGTAGATCCACGTCGGGAGCGGGGCTGAGGTGCTCCTCTGCCGTCCCAGCTGTGAGAGGCCCTGTCTGCCGCTGGGGCAGGAGGGCGGGGCTGAGGAGGGCACCTACCAGCCCACGTTGTCAGAGCTGCTCACAGAAAGGCCCAGAAAGCAAACCTAAACAGATGGAGAGAACTCAGGGGGAAGAACGTGCACGAGTCTGTACCACCTGGGACGAGGAGACTAGTTCTTCCTTGTGTATATCGAGGGCCCCTGGCCCGCTTCCCAGAGGCTGGGGGGGGGTCCCTGCGCTCCGGGGGGGCTGCCCGTGCTACGGAGGAAGGGCGGTGTGTCGTCTTGCAAGTGCTCTGCCGGGAGGTCCTAGTTTCCCTTTTAACTCGGATCAGACTGAGCTTAGACTGAGAACTTACCCACCACCTCCCACGAAGTGCAGGACTGCTCTGGACAAGCTGTGCACATCCCTGTGGAAGACTGGTGGTGGGGAATGGGCGAGCAGCCTGTTTATGTATAAGCAGTGGATTAAATAAAGAGTAAATAAATGATTCAAAATGAACAAGGAATTCTAAAAACAGATCATTTAAAAACAGTCATGGGAACTTGAATGTACATCAGTCCAGAAGATCACAGTGAAATACAGCTTCTCTTCAAAAAATTACAGTTGTCCCTTGAAACTTCGCGCTCTGACCTTCGAGGTTTCACTGTTTTTTCAAATATATTCATTAAAAAGTTGGTCGAGACAGTGAAAATGATGCAGTGCGCGCTTGGTTGTCTGAGTCAGTCACACCCTGTATTACAATTACAATTACAATTACTGCACGTATGGACTGTGGGCCTATGGATTCGAGCACCCAGGGATCCTTCAACGCCAGGGGCAACCGCTCGAGTCTGGAACGGAGTCACCGCGGTAAACGAGGGAAATCTGTACTCAAGAAAAGGAGCGAGTGAGAAAGACCAAAGTCTGTAACTTCAACATAGGATAGAGAATCAATAACTGTGTGGGGTTTGGGTGTGATTGTAGAAGCGTGGACATTGACTTGAAGGCCCCACATTACAGAGGTTAATGCGTCAGCCTGTGCCCAGGTGTTTAGTGACATTGACTTAATGCCAGTATTTATCGGTATTTAAATGAATGGAGACAGAGAATTTTAGAAGAGAAATGTGCATTGTGGATAGTTAAGTTCCCTGTCTACGGAACCTTGAATTTGTCATACTGAAACGCAATAAAACGGAGCTGTCCTCTTACATTTTTGAAGGGGAAGAATGAATGTGGTTTTAAAAAGTGCTTCGGAAAGTTCTTCACTCGATGTTTCTGTTTTGCGGCTAGTGGCACAAGAAGGGGCTGGCTGTATTGTTCTGCATCCTGCAGTTCATGTCCATGACCTGGTGAGTCTGACCCTGCCCCGAAAGGGACATTCCCTGACAGTGCTGAGCGTTTGTTCGAGCCTGGACGCCCAGGGAAGCTGGGGGCTCATCTGGTGGGTGCACACGTGCCAGGGAGGGGCCGGACTCCTGGAGTGAAGGCTGCAGTGTGGCCGGGGACCGGCAGGCTCGGGGGAGCAGGCAGGGGCTGGTGGAGGCCGGGCGACACCGTGACCCAGTGCCGCCCCTGCTGTCGGCTGTGAGAGGGCACGGTGGGATGTGGGCGCTGCCCCGTGAGTCCACAGTGGCCAGGCCTGCCGCGGGCTGGCCCGGCACCTGGTCTGCCTTCACTGGAGCTCGGTTCGTTCCTTCCTGTGGTCAGTGAGCGCTGCCTGGTCTCGCTGTGCTAGGGCTCCTGTCGACGTTACCCCGTGGGGGCTCCCCTTCCTACCTTTCCCCCGCGGGCACCGCTGCCAGTGCTAACGCACTCCGCGTGTTCGCAGGGGCCTGCGAGGGGATTTGCGCTCTCGGTGAAGCGTGGGCAATTTCCGATGGGATTCCTCGGTCATTTTCTGTGATATGTTGCTTTTTATTTCATCATCTGTATTTAACAGTTGGTTTATCCCTAAGGGGAATGTGCTTCACTCTCATTGCTTTGATAGTTTCTGTTTTAAAAGGAAAACCTTTTTCTTAGGACGAGCTCAGACCTCAGCAGGCAGCGAATGGCTGAGTTTGTGGAAGGGAGTTTCCCGCTCAGGAAGTGGCCGCGGGGCCCAGGGGTTTGCGTTTCTAACAACTTCCCAGCGACACTGTTGCTGCGGTCGGGTGGGGTTCGACTGGGGATCATGGTGCACCCTGTGCCGCTGGCTTGGTGTGGGGCGGGCGGTGCTGAGATCAGGGTTCAACAGCTGGGCTTTCTTTTGCAGGTACAGTCTGTCGTACATCCCGTATGCAAGGTGAGTGTGTCTGAATCCCACCCGCTCTGGGCCTCTAATGAGCTTCGCAAAAATGCACCAGTTTTGGTAATTTTTGCATTAAATTGTTACTTAAAAGGCTGACTTTCTTTGCAAAAGGAAATTCTATCCAAAGGAGGTGGGTAGGAAGAAGCTGCGGTCTAAGGGAAGCCACGCTGAGCGTAAGGCGAAGGGTTGAGACTACTGCCCTGACCCGACCTCTGCGGCCAGGAGACTCGGGCAGAACAGGCTATGCTTTGAGCAAAAGGAAGGCAGTGAAAAGTGAGGTCTGAGACGTGGAGGCCGCGTCAAGCCAGTGACAACACGCTCGCTCCGTGTGTCGAGAGGTGACTGCCACTGACGCCTTCTCGGGGACGCGCTTAGTGGGTCGTGACGGAGAGCTGACTGTCTCCGATCTGGCCGGTTCGGGGACCACTCCATCGCGGCACAGCTCTGCTTCTAGAATTTGGAAAGCGAGGTTGTCTGTGGAAACAGCAGAGTTGTGTGCCCAGTGAGAACAATGAAGGGAACTGGTAGAAGTTGTTTTTACTGAATTTCAGAAGGGTAATTCTTTTTGATAAACACCAGGAGGGGAAGCAGGCCATGGACCAAGAGCAGAGGTCATTTCCAGCCCTCGGCCCTCTGCCCCGCCCCCAGAGTTTAGGACTCTGAACGTGAGTGCAGCCTGCAGGGCAGCCCCTGGTCCCTGGCACCTGCTTTTGCCGGTCAGGGGAAAGCGATACCTGCAGGGGTGCGGGTCTCAGCACCCCTGCAGACCAGCTGCTTGGGTCCTGAGGCGAAGGGATTCTTCCCACGCGTTTCTTTGACTTCTTAGCATGCAGTTACAGCATTTTTAAAAATCCAGCTTATTTCTCTTTAAAAATAAGTTCTTTTGTTAGGTTATTTTTGGTATTTAAATGTATTTCTTTATAGTAAGTTCAGTGTGTGCTGGTAAAGATTTCCTAAAAGAAATGCACTTCAGAAATTAAGAAACTGTTTCCAACTAAGTTATCGATTCAAGGGATACTCAGCTCAGTTGAGGTGTCAGGTTCCCCGATGCTGATGCCCGAGGTGATCGCACGCTTGTCTGTTGGCAGAAATGTCCCCTGAAAGTTGGCTCTTGAGGCAGGTGGTCATGTTGCCCTTCCCTCCTTTTCCCACAGGGATGCCGTCATGAAGTGCTGTTCTTCTGTCCTGAGTTGAAATCAGAAACTCTTCAGACGGAGCCTTTGAAGTTGCTGTTCTGTTTTGGGTGACGTGTTTCCCTGGCACGGTGGTCTCTCCCGACCACGGCCGCGAGTTCGGGACACGCTGTGTACTGGGGAAACCTGTGCTTGAGTCAGCTGTTGGACACTTGTCCCGTTAGGTTCTGTGTCGTTAATACATCTTCCACACCGAGGAGGTTTTGATCATTGCCAATTGTGAATGACTTTTAGCCAGTTTTTTAATCTTTTCTAAACAGCATTTGAGATGTGAATATTTAAGGATAAGTCTATGTTGCACGATATAGTCAACTTTTTTGACTCTTCTAAAATGTCTAGATTTTAAAAATACTTTTTAAAAAAAAACTTGAAATGTGAAAGTTTTTACTTTAAACTAAAAATTGCTTATTATATGTAATAAAATAATATATAAATCTTTACAATTTTGAAATAAACTCATTCTTGGAAAAATAACCTTTTCTGGATCAAATCTGCATGTGTGAGTGGGCGGTACCTGGTTCAAGTCGGCTGGAGCCCCTCTGGGCCCTGCAGGTGGCTTCTCCCCATGAACCAGTGAGCTGGCGGGAGCCCCTCTGGGCCCTGCAGGTGGCTTCTCCCCATGAACCAGTGAGCTGGCGGGAGCCCCTCTGGGCCCTGCAGGTGGCTTCTCCCCATGAACCAGTGAGCTGGCGGGAGCCCCTCTGGGCCCTGCAGGTGGCTTCTCCCCATGAACCAGTGAGCTGGCGGGAGCCCCTCTGGGCCCTGCAGGTGACTCTCCCCATGAAAAGCGAGCTGCGTCCTTGTCCCTATGCTGCTCTGCGGGTCTGCGAGGGGTGGGCTGCGCCCTGAGCAGGAAGTGCAGGCGGAGGGTCTAGTCGGGCTAGAGGGAGAGCCAGCAGCCAGGCGGGGCAGGTGAGGGGACCAGCCACTAGCATCCAGGCTGGGGACTGAGGGCAGGAGGCCCCAGCAGGAGCCAGGCCCCCGGGGAGAACCTGCTGGGGCCGGAGCCCTGGTGGAGAAGCCGGGAGAAGGGGAAAGCCCAGTCCCCCTCCTGCTTTTCCACCTGTCCTCAGCCCTGCTGACCGGCCCTCGTCAGGTCAGGTGCCCACAGAGCTTCAGAGCGGGGTCTGCAGGGAAAGCACAGGTGGCGCCTGAGTGCCAGCGCCATGCCCGGCGCAGAGAGCAGGTGGTCCCGCGGCCTGGCGGGGCCCGAGCTCCGGAAGGCGATGGCTGGGTCGCTCCTGGGGTGTTAGTTTAGAGAACGTGTCCGGGGGCAGCGTTCTGGAGGGGACACACGGAGACGACCGTGCAGGACAGGAGCTGATGCTGGGCAGAGTGGACCCGGTAGGAAGGGCTGGCGAAGGGCCTGGGCGGTGTCTCTTCACCCTCGCTGCTCCCAGGTGGCCTTTTTAAAAATAATTTTTCTTTATTGATCTTAGAGAGAGAGGAAGGAAGAGGGAAAGAGAGAGAAACATCGATGAGGGGACATCGATTGGCCGCCTCCTGCACGCCCCCCACTGGCGATCAGCCCGAAACCTGGGCCTGTGCCCTGACCGGGACTCGGACCAGCAGCCTCTTGGTGCAGGGTTGACGCCCAACCAGTGAGCCACACTGGCCGGGTCCAGGTGGCCTTTGACCTCACAGTGGGAACAGACCGGCAGCACTTGCTCACCTTTGTCTGGCAGTGGGTTAGGGGTCAGCCAGACCAACGTGGGCAGCCAGGTGGGGGCAGCGCCAGGGGGACAGGTCGTGATGGTGAGCGGAGGGCCGACGACCTTCTCCTGAAGCCACTGTTGGAGTTGGTTCGGAGCAGGTGTGCCCAGGACTCAGCTGGAAGCCCGTGGCTGTGTTGGTGGGGAGGGTCCCAGGACGGGACACGGAGTAGCTTTGGGTAAAGGCGTCCATTGCGGAGGTGGGGACACAGTCTCGAGGTGGACAAAGCTACTAAGTCCCTTGAGATCTGCAGGAGAGACTGGTCCCCTGCAGCGGGCAGAGGTGGTGCCGGCTGGGGCTCCCTGGGTGCCCTCCGCCCCAGCCTCAGCCGGACTCTGCCTTCCTGACAGGTGTCAAGCATCTGCCAAAACCTTTTTTAAACATCCTCACCTGAGGATGTCGTCGTTTTTAATTTTTAGAGAGAGGGACAGAGACATCAGTGAGAGAAACGTGAGTTGGTTGCCTCCCACACGCGCTGTGACCTGGAATCGAACCTGGCACCTTTGGTGGACAGAACGACACTCAGCCATGCCAGCCGGGGCCCCCAGAGCCTGTTTTTACCCCAGATTTTTGGATCGTCCGCTGGTTGAATCAGCACACGAGGAGCCCACGGATACAGAGGCCGCTGTACCCAGTTTTTCTTTCCAGTGGAGAGCAGTCCGCTCCCCAAGCCCGGTCAGCCACGTGGGAGGTGTCCCTGGGCATGGCTGCAGCCTGTGGCGGCTGCCCCTGTGCAGTCGGGACCTGCCCGCTGGTCTCTCAGGGTTTCCTTGGTGACAGGCCCAGAGCTTGCCTGCGTCTCAGGCTGCAGCCACCATGAGCACCCGGATGGAGGCGCTGGACACGAGCCATGGGTCCAGGCCCAGCCCGCCTGCCAGCTCCGCTTTGTTTCCGAAACATGGTCGACTTCTCGTCGGAGACACGTTCGTGCAGCGGGTCGATGTTACGTGTTGTTTGAAAGTGTATCACTAATTCTTTTTTTTTTTTAATCCTCATCCGAGGACATTTTTTCCATTTTTTGTACAGACAGAGCGGGAGGGAGAGAGAGGAAGAGAGAGAGAGGGAAACATCGACGTGAAAGGGACACATCGAGTGGCTGCCACCCGCATGACCAACCAGGGCCGGGGACAAACTGCAACCGAGGTACATGCCCTTAGCGGGAACCGAACCCGGGTCTCTCCGGACCGCAGGCGGACGCTCTAACCGCTGAGCCAAACCGGCCAGGGCTGTATCACTAATTCTTTTTCGGTTAGCATCAATAGCCAGAGGCCACAAAACAGCTCTGAGTCCCGGGAGTATAAAGGGGTCTCGGGGTGCGCTGGCCTCCTGGGGAGTGTGCCGGGCCTCGGCCACCTGCTGCTCGGAGGGGCCTCGCTTTCTTCATCTGGAAGAACGAGGGTGCAGTGCAGTGATGCAGATGGAGAGGTCCTTACCTCCGCGCTGGGGGACGGGTTCAGATCGCCTCTGAACAACCCCCTGAATGTTTTTACTCCCACAGCCTTTCGTAGCAACAGACCAGCGTTGGAAGAAACGTCAGATGTTTCTCGTTATTGAGCAAGATCGAAGGAATCAAATAGGAGCTTAAAAACTGCAGTAGCTTTCCGGATTTGAAAGTTCAGAATCTGTTCCGGTTTTAGAAGTCTGACTACATATTTCTGTATCACGTAGAATTATTTGAATCAAAGTACGGAAACGAAGCAAAGCACACGGGAGGAGGTGTTCGAGAACGGCTTGGCCTGCATTCCTTTTAGATGTTTTTCCGAATGGACGTTGAAGTGTGAGCACCTTAGTAAAACCAGGAAGTGAATAGGTTAGCGAGAGGTTTCATAGAAGAAGGGTGTCTCCTGGTCACTCCGTGGTGGTGACAGGTGGAGCACGAGGTCTGCGTGGGTGGGTGTCCTCCACAGAGCGGGGTCCTCCGCAGAGCGGGGTGCCTACGGCCATTCAGCTCCAGCCAGAGCGGGGCCTGGGTATGATCTTGGTATTTTATTTTAGTGATTGAAATGTTTTCTACAACATTCAGTCATTCTGGAACTACTTTATTTTTTTATTTTTTATTTTTGGTATATGCCCCTAGTGGGAACCGAACCTGGGACTCTCTGGTCCACAGGCCGACATGCCAACCACTGAGCGAAACCGGCCAGGGCTCTGGAACTACTTTATTTTTTATTTCTTTTATCCTCACCCGAGGACATTTTTCCATGTTTTGTTCAGATAGAGTGGGAGGGAGAGAGAGAGAAGCATCGACGTGAAAGGGACACGTTGAGTGGCTGCCACCTGCACGACCCAACCAGGGCCGGGGACAAACTGCAACCGAGGTACGTGCCCTTAGTGGGAACCGGACCCGGGTCTCTCTGGACCGCAGGCTGACGCTCTAACCGCTGAGCCAAACCGGCCAGGGCTCTGGAACTACTTTAAAGGGTTTTTGTAATGAAGTCTTCATACAATTAACTCTGATACGACAGGAGAAAAAAATCACCATTAACTCTCAAATGGTAGACAATTGTATTATTATTTTTTTGAAATTTGAATATCAAGTTAATATAATTCAAAAATAAAATGCCATTGCCCTGGCTGGGGGACTCGGTTGGTCGGAGCATCGTCTCATACACCGAAAAGTTGCAGGTTCGGTTCCCAGTCAGGGCACGTACCCAGGTTTCGGGTTTGATCCCTGGTCAGGGTGCATATAGGAAGCAATCGATCAGTGTTTCTCTCTCACATGGATGTTTCTGTCTCTTTCCCTTCTTCTCTCTCTAAAACAAATTAAAAACAGAACAAAACCTATCCTCAGGTGAGGATTACCAAAAATTAAATGTCGTAAGTAAAAAAGACATTGATTTTGCTTAAATGTCCTGTCAAGTCAGCCAGCTTATTTAGAATAGTGAGCTTTGTAACTTCTACATGAAAGGTCACCGTGTACCTTTAGAGCTCGCCCGTCACCCCGGTGGCCCTGGAAGCATGGTGGCCAGACGGGAACGCCGGTGACGGGTCCAGCCCGGAGTTTCCCGCCGCCGCCAGGGGCCTCCCACTGCCGTGCGCTGGGCGTGGGACGCGAAGCCCCACGCGTGTTTGCCGCCCGCCGGACTGGGTTTCTTGACTCTCCAGTCGCTTTTCCTTCACGTCTCTGAACTTGAACGTGGTTGTCTCCTTCCAGTGAGACTCCTTGCTGGTGGCCGTCACGGCCCATTCGAGTCAACCCAGTCGGATGTTCAACAGATTCTTTGATGGCCGGTGCACCAGGGACGGGGCGAGTGACACACACTTTCCCGAATCCCCCCAGGCCCATGCCAGGCGTCCTGACCTCTCATTTCCAAGGGCTGAGGGATTCAATCAGAGAGACAGCTGGCAGGGACCAGCCCACCCACCCTGAGGTACGGGAACGCCTCACCCCCGACCACGTGATTCCGACTCAGGTTCTGACTCGGGGAGCCCAGGGTAGGGTCGCGCTCTGACCCTCTGACCCTCTGACCTGGGTGGACAATGGGGCAGTGGGCACTCAGCATTGCCTCGTCTGCCCCAAGTCTCCAGGCTTCTGGGCTGGGACGAGATGTGGGGTGGGGGGACCTTGGAGATCCCCAGCGACCGGTCTGGGGACACGTGCCTGCCAGTGCCTCGCCTCACTTTCTCTTGGGGAAATGCCCAAATGCTGCTGCTTACTCGGTCCCCGCCTCAGACTTCCGCTAGTGTGGGGGCTCTGGAACCCCACCGCTGGGTCGGGGCTCATCTCCACCCCCTGGAGCTGTGGTGCTGGGGAGCTGCTCGTGCCCCGTTTCCCTGTAGAATGGAGGTAGTAACAGGCCAGGAGAGTTTCAGCCAACATACGTTAGCTGGTACAGTTATGAGACTGCCAGCCCACCCCCACCCGTCGCTACCTGTGAGGCCAGGAGGCAGGAAACAGGGAGCGAGAAGCCATCCCGACACCGTCCAGCTTTTGAACTGCTGGGTTCCATGCTCAGGTCTCGGGGTGTCTGTCCATCTGGATTTTTCTCCGCAGCTCCCCCTGGCGGTGCCCACGAGAAATGGTGTCTGCCCCCTGCCCCATCTCCCGCCGACCGGCCAGCAAACACTCCACCTGCTGGCCCTGCTTACAGACCTGGTCCCACCCCCGCAAACAGATGGTAAAACCTGGAGTAAAATGCACAGGTGCTTTCTGTACCTATGGAGACCTCTGACCTCCACTGCCAGACACACACCTGAGCAGAGGCCCTGGGGTCAGGGAGCCGCTGGAGACTTGTCTTGAAGCTGCATTTGCATATTTTTGGAGAATATGCGAACATGGGGTGTGGCTTGGGGGTGCTATTGGAGATGAGGGTGCTAAACCTTCTCCAGTCCCCACCCCCTTGCTGCTGTGGTGAGGTTTCTGGCCACCTGTCAGGATGTGTTCTTGCCTTGCGTCCTGGCCCGTAGGCACCTACACTGGAACACATGAGGGGTGGAGGGGTGCCCTGACCCAGGACTGCGGGCACTGGGCACACTGAGTTCACCCACCTTTGAATGCTTCGAGCTGACCCGGGCCACATCCGGTGCCCATGTTCCCAGTTAGCCTGGAGAAGCGTGGCCTGCGGACACGCGCTGTGGAGGTCTACCCATCGCTGATTCCTGTGTGAGGCAGGGACTGCGTCCCTGACACCGACCTCTCGATGCTTGGTCACCGCTCGGTGCAGACTGGAGACTGGGAATGCTGTCCCTCACCTGCAGCGTGCGCTGGCCGTGAAGAGGTCCATTCGGAACCACTGCTGTGGCCGTGAATACATTGCTTCGGGTGCGCTCATCAGTCATTAAAAGGATGTAATATCTAATATTTCCTGTATCACCATATAACTGAAACGACTGTTTTGCCAATTTATAGAAAACTAGGTTTTTAATTTTGCGATGACGGTCTCTCCGCCGTGGCATGGACAGTATATAAAAGTAAACTCTGAGTCCCGCCGGGGTGGCTCAGCGGTTGAGCATCCACCCCCGCACCGAGAGGTCTGTGGTTCGATTCCCGGGCAGGGCACATGCCCAGGTTGTGGGCCCCATCCCCAGTGCGGGCGTGCAGGCGGGGCCAATGGATGTTTCTGTCTCTCCCTCTCCCTTCCTCTAAAATCAATAAAGGGGAAAAAAGTGGACGCTGAGCCATTCACCAAGATGCCTCTCCCGCCTCTGTCCTAGGCGGCCTTCCGCCCGGTGCCCGCATGGCAGGGGCACGGGGGGGGGGGGGGGGGGCTGGTGAAGGGCCCGCCCAGGGCTGAGGGCCTATCCGAGCGCCCTGGAGACCAGCAAGCCCCGCCCCGCCCCGCCGCGTCTCCTTGGTCTCCAGCTAACAGCCGCGGGACACCTGCGGGAGCTCGGCCCGTCCTCTGCCAGCCACGCTCCTTCCGCGCGGCTTGGAGGAGGGGAGGAAGGAGGGGAGGAAGGATTGGCTCCAGCCCCTGGTGAGAGCCGGGATGTGAAGGCGGCAGATGCAGCCTCAGGACGAGGGGGCAGGGGGGACGAGGAGCGCCCCGCCCACCGATGGGGAGGGCGCTGGGCTCCGTGCTGGGGACTAAAGGCCGCCCCCCCCCCCCGCCTTTCAGGGCGCTGACGCCCGCGGGCTCGGGGCACCATGCCGTTCCCGCTGCCGCCTGCCCTGGCCCCGAGGGTCCCCGCCGCGCGCCCGCCGCCCCGCAAGCCCGGAGCTCCCCGGAAGGCAGCTGTGCCCACCTGCACCCCACCCGCGCCCTCGCTGCCCGCCGCCCCCGCCGCCGGGGAGAAGAAGCGGCCCGAAGCGCTGCTGTCCCGCTCCTGGCCCTCGGCCACCCTGAGGAGGCCCCCGGCCCGCCGCGCGCCCGGCCCGGCCCCTCCGCGCGCCCCGGCCAGGGCCAGCTCCGGCCACAGCCCCGTGGGGGGTGCCGCGGGGCCCAGGCCCGACGCCGCCGCGCGCTTCTCCCTGAGCCTCCCCCCCGAGGCTGCCCTGGTCATCCAGAGGCGCCACCTGGAGAAGCAGCTGCTGGCTCGGCCCCGCCGGCTGCTCCCCCCGCCCTCTGCCGACTCCAGGCACCTGCTCGGCCCCGGTCCCCGAGCCAAGGCTGCGGGACCGCGGAGGGGAGGCGACCCCGGCGGCCTGGACGGGCGCTGGCCCGGCGCCCCACTGCTGCCCCGGGGCCTGCAGGCCCCCAGCCCGCGACCCGTTGACCTGCGGCGCGTGCTCAAGGTGTCGCTGCTCAATGACCAGCACAAGTACGACGACGTGGAGTACGAGGAGGAGGCCACGGCCGTGGACGAAGGCCTGGTTCGCAAGTGCACGGAGTGGCTGCGCGGTGTGGAGTCGGCCACCGCCACGCGCGACCGCCCCAGGACCCTGGACGTGCTGCCGCACCTGAGCACCCTGTAGCAGGTCCTGGACAGAACCCTCGGGTGCCCACCCCAGCCTCCTGGGCACCTGAGTCCGGTGGTCCTCCCGGGATGCCGCTGCCCCTGGGCACCTGTGAGCAGGGTCTGGTGGGCCTGGTGGGGGCTCCTCCAGTGCCCACAGTGCACACCTGGACATGCTGCTCCACCTGGGTGACCTGGGAGACATGTCCTGGGCTCCTGTGAGCCAGGTGGGCCCCTGTGGGACACAGACAACCTTGCTGGACTCCACGGCCCACCTCGTGCCCAGGCCGGTTTCCACCCTCCAGCCCATGACCTTTCCCTGGCCCACAGGAGGAGGGTGGGGGACTGGGAGGGTGACCATCTGCCCTGGAACTAGACAGAGTGGGGCTGCATTCATGACTGTTTCTCCTGAACAGAAAACTGGGGGATTGGAAACCCCTGTTAACCCAACCCTCCAAGCCCACAGGGGAGGGCAGTGCCAGGAGCTGCCCCTGGTGGGGGCTGGCTTGTGAACAGTGCTGTTGTCACAGCTCCTCCTGGCTGGGTGCTCCGCGGTGGCGCTCCCGCTGCGAGCCAGATGCACGCCCACACACGTTCACACGAGGTGCACACACATGCTCACACACTCACACCAGGTGCACGCACACACGCTCACACACGCCCACACCCTTACACTCACACCAGGTGCACACCTACACACGCTCACACACTTACACTCACACCAGGTGCACACCCACACACGCTCACACACTTACACACACACCAGGTGCACGCCCACACACGCTCACACACACACATGCTCACACACTGAAACACTCACACATCCTACACGTATTCACGCTCACGTGCACACATACTCATGCTGTCGCGCACAGGCACACTGTGACACACAGCTCTCTGAAGCACAGATGGGGGAGGTATGGGCAGGAGCCAGGGGCAGCTTCTGCTCAAGTCCATTGTCTCCATTTGAAGTGCTGCTCACAAGGTGTCCTTTGCTACAGAAAGTAAGTTACCAAATGGAGAGGACAGTGGGGAGCGCAGGCCGCAGGACACGGGGACAGAGGAGCAGTGGATCGGACGGGGAAAGCGGAAGTTGCCGATGGGGTGCGGGGTGGGTGCACGTCCGGATTTTCAGTCACTGTGAAAATCAGTGCAGGTGGCTCTGGACAGGTGTGTGTAGTGACTTGAAAAGAAGGTCTATTTGCTGTTTGGACAAAGGGTAACACCTCTGCCAGTTGGGGGCCGTGCCCTATTCCTGGGTATTTTCTCCCTGCATCTGAGTACATTGAACTCATATAAGGTTGAAAAGGGAAAAGAAAATTGTTCTAATCAGATTAGACCGGTTATAGAAAAATAACGTATTTTTTTAGTTTTGGACTTATTTTGTAAAAGCCAATAACTAATGTTTATCTTGTGAGACTTTAATGTGTCAAGTCTTAATTCTGTTTTACATCGAAGCCTTACATTTTTTAAAACCAATTTCACGTTTTTCTGGGGGAGATCTTTGTGTTAATCTCTCTCTCGGCACAGGTCTAGTTGACATGACACGTTTAATTCAGTGGGAGCTGGATCGGCCCCCAGATGAGTTACATAAATGAATAGCTGCTTTCCTGACCCCCGTCGGAGTGCAGAGAGCTACGCCGCCTTCTAACTGACCTGGAGATAGTAACACCAGAGAGGCAGAGGTAGCTGTCTTGCTGAGGTGAAATCTGTCCCCGTGAGAGCTCTGGCCGTCCCAGGGGAGGGGGCCCGATTCTAGATGGTCACTAGCAGGCAGAGAATGAGCTGACTGAGTTCACCGTGGACAGTGTCATAACTTGATCTCATTTGCACTTGGTGCAAATACTAATAAATTAAAGGACCCAGGTTTGTGCCCACTGCTACAATAACAACATTTTAAGGACTTTCCTAAAGTAGTGGACTTGGGAAGTCTCCTGTCTCTGCCTTCACATCCGTCCTGTTGTGTGACAATGAATGTGTGGGTCTCTGTCCCTGTCCCTTGCTGTGTTTTCCTTCCCTCGCCCCTCTTCCTCCGGCCCGTCCGCCCTCGCCCGTAGCTGGCCACCGTCTGACACCGGTTCCTTTGTCCTCCCTTGCGTTTGCCGAGTGGAGTTCCGTGTGCCTTGTTCTTCGCTTGAACAGCAGGTCTGTGGGATGTTCACGGGGCTCGTTGATGACTCGATGAGAAACGGAAGTTCCCACCGCTGACGTGAGGTCTCTCCGTGTGGCTGCTGGTGTTCCGAGGGAGTTCTTCTCTGCGTCACTGTGTTGCGATTTCCCAGTGTTTAAATAAAAGAGAAATTCAGCGCCTCGTGTTGCTGTTTGAGGAAGGTTCCAAGATGGGGCCCGGAGGGGAGTCACCGAGGCGCTGAGAATTCCTTGAGGTGTGTCTCCCAGTGCCGCCCACCCGAGGGTCTGGGATTGCCGGGGTCGGCAAAGGTGTGTGGGCTTTAATCAGTACGGACAGTAATCAGGATTTGAAACACTCAGTGACGACCAGACGTTACAGAATGAGGCTGCAGGGTCACTAAGCCCCGCGAAGCTGTATTCTGAATATGCTCCTAAGGACACGTCCTACGTAACGGTGGGTACTGGTATGTCTCTTAGGAAGCGCACGGACCCCGGAACTTCTCTGTACCCTCACTGGAACATTTTTTTTTTGCCAGAAGTGATTTCAGACAGGCAGGGCTCAGCAGTCAGAAGTGGAAATGTCAGTCTGCATAATGACCGGGACCAGGCAAAGCAGACAGGGGAGACGGCACTTCTAAATGTGGTTTGTCTTTCAAATATCTGGGTCCTTGCGGGAAAAGGTGAGCAAAGGTTCATGGGAGTCGGAAGGTGGGCACTGTGCCCTCTCTTGCAAGCGGTGCTTCACTGAATTCTCCCAAAGCAGGGGTGGGGGTGCTCCCTCCGCAGACGGCCGCCCCGTGCTGGCGCCTGGTCACCGGCGTCACCGGCTGAGCAGAGGTGCAGGTGGATTCCGAGGCTCAGCCTGGGGGACTTTCTCCTGTACATTTGGGGAACACCCTGGCATTTCCGATAGTCTGTCTCGATCTGCTGTCTTTCTGGAAAAGATGGACGCCAGGACGCCAGGACCTTCAGTCGTGTGCTTTCCCCAGAAGCTGCACGATTCCGGCACAGGCGTGGTTGATGGTGAAGTCGCAATTCCATACCTTTGTGGGTGCCACTAGGGCAGGCCCAGCTGTGTGCACGTGTCACCAGAGCTGCACACGGTGCCCTCAGAGCTGCGGGGGCCCCACGTGGCCCAGTTCCCACCAGCACTGCCTTCGTCCAGATGCTGACGGGTTGAGGGGCTGCTGCCGTGGCTGGGCCGTGGCCGTGGCTGTGGCTACACGCCCAGCTTGGAGACAGCTCCTCCCCAGTCAGATCTGGGAGAAGGTACTTCACCTAGGTTAAGGGGTACCTTTGAGGCTGGAGGTCCCATGCTGACACAGTCCTTTGTCAGCCATCTCGTTTTTTTAATTCTCACCTGAGGATATTTTTCTATTTATCTTCAAGTAGGGTAGAGGGAGGGAGAAAGAGAAAGAGAGAAAGAAATGATGTGAGAGGGACACATCATCTGGTTGCCTCCTGCACGACCCCAACCAAGGCCGGGGACCAACTGCAACTGAGGTACATGCCCTTGACCAGAATCGAACCTGCGACTCTCTGGTCTGCGGGCCAACGCTCTAACCGCTGAGCCAGACGGCCAGGGCGCCACCTCTCATTTCACGTCTGTGCCCTGTCTCCTCTGCCACACACTGGTGTGGACGGCAGTGTGGTCCCGGCAAGGCTCTCGATCAGACGTGTGTGAAGCATTTAGAATGGCGCCGGCGAGCCACCAGCTCAAGTTCGGCTGTTCCGGTTACTGCCGCAAACCCCTCACACTCGGAAAGCTTTGTTCCTGGTACTTGTGCGACATCTCCCCCCGGCTCCAGGAAGCGGGGTCTCAGATCCCGTGCTGCCTTCCGTGGGGGTACACTTTTATTTCCCTCGGGAGTTGTAAAGGCCTGATAGATTTTACCTTCTCATTTCAAACGTTTACTATTTGTGTCCTGAACACAAAATTTAACTCTGAGCGTCCTGGTAGCAAAGGCAAAATTAAACAGTGAGTGAGACAATCTCATTATCTAACAACAAGAAACACTAGCCCATTACAAGAGACACGCTTTTCTCAGAACAGCAGAAAAGGCCCACAGGCCACCCGGAGAGATCAGGGACCGCTGGGGCGGGCGGCGGCCTGGCCGCTGGCCAGGTGTCTGGACTAGCTCGGGCTGTCCTGGGAAGAGCCACGCTGGGCATGCACCAAAGGGGTCCGCAGGTGAGGGACAGGGCAGGGCGGAGACAGGGCCTTCATCACAGACAGGCCCCACACATCTCCAAACATGAGAGACACGGGCAGATGGAAAAGACAGTCATACATCAACCCTTGACGATCCCACTCTGAACTGAACTCCTGAATGCTGTGGGCACTTCGAGGCGTGGACCCAGAGATGCGCCTCTTTACTGGCAGCTGTGGGCTCTCGGACCCCGAGGGATGGAAGGCTTTGTCCTGGCCACTCCGTCAGACTAAAGAACCTGGCCGAGCCTCGGCGCCCCTTCCAGAAAAGCACGCCACCCGACGAACACTCAGGGAGCAGTTCCACGTAACGTAATGACACTTAATGCTAGGACACACTCCCGATCACACCCAGTAGTCTGAGAGCGCTGACCACTCCCACGTGGTCACCTCGAGGAATTTTGCACGAATTGCCCTCCACGCTGCTGAGTGCTGAGTGTTTAAGCCTCGCCCGTCCCTCCCACCCTCGCCCAGCTCTGCGGGTGAAGCAGTAGGTTCCGTAGTACCCTGGGGACTTCGTTTCAGTGTTTATATCATTAGGGGACAAGCATGAGGACAAGCTGCAGCCATGAACGGACTGGGACGCATGGGCGATGGGGGGGAAGGGCTTGTGGGCGGACAGGAGGAGGCCTGATGCTAACACGAGTCATTTGTCTAGGACTGACCTTGGGAAATGCAAG